TAATACCACAGGCCCCCACGGTCTAGCAAAGGTCAGGAGCTCTCAGAGCGGAGACGCATCTTCCAGGCACCCTCAGTCCACTCATCCTCCCAAGGGAACAGGAAGCTTCCCACTCGGCTGGAGGGCTGTGATGATGTCATCGCTCGGATAACAGAGGGTCATGGTGTGTGACGTCACTGCTCTGAAGGCAGATGGCTGTGATGTGTGATGATGCCACCACTCAGGTGACAGAGGGTCATGGTGTTTGGTGATGCCATCACTCGAATGACAAGGTTGTGGCATGCGATGACATCATTGCTCAGATGACAGAGGTCATTATGCGTGTTGACATCATCACTCAGGTGGCAGAGAATTGTGCCATGTAATGATGTGACTCAGGTGGCAGAGAGCTGTGAGTGATGGTGACAAAGTCACGTGTGATGATGTCATCACTCGGGGGACAGAGGGTCGTGACATGTGATGACATTGCTTGGATGGCAGAGGATGATGATGTATGATGACGTCAACCCTCAGATGAGATATGGTTATTATGTGTGATGACATCACTCAAATGCCAGAAAGTTGTGGCATAAGATGACATCATCGCTCAGGAGTCAGGAAGCCATGATATGTATGACATCATCACTCAGGCGACAGAGGACCATTATGTATTGTGATGTGCGACAATGTCATCACTCTGGACTCAGATGACAGAGGTCTATGATGTGTGATCACATCATCACTCAGTGGTGGTGGGTCATGAGATGACATAACCATTCGGTGGTGAAAGGTTGTGGCGTGTGATGACATCATCGCTCAGGTGGCGGAAGGCCATGGTGTGTGGTGATGTCATCGCTCACATGGTGGAAGGTCAGGGCGTGTGGTGATGTCGTTTGCTCAGGTGGCAAGGGTCATGACGTGATGGCATCATTGCTCAGTGACGGAGCGTTGTGAAGTATGATGACATCATCACTTGGTGACTGAGGGTCTGGCATGTGAAGACATCATCACTCAGGTAGCAGGGGTTGTGATGTGTGATGGTATCATCACTCAGTGATGGAGGAACATGGTGTGCAATGATGTCATCACTCGGTGGGAGGGGTCATGATGTCATAAGTTGGTTTCGGAGGGTCGTGACATGTCATGACAGCATGCAGAGGGCTGTGGTGTGCAATGATGTCATCCCTTGGGTGGCTTATACAATGAGTGCTGGTTCATGACTGTGGCTTCAAACTTGTTTAATTCTCCCTTCTAATGTGGTGAATGTTTAGTCATAAGTTACATTAAATGAAAAGCTGCCATCAAGCTGACCCCAGCTCAAGGCTGTTAACCCCATGTGTGTCCGAGAAGAACTGTGCTCATCTTCCAGAAGTAGGTCTCTGGGCCTTTCCTTCAAGATGCCTCCGGGTGGACACTGCCCCACCCCCCACCCCCACCAACCTTTCAGTGAGCAGCTGAGTTCATTAAACCAGAGATTCCATAACCTCCAGAAAGTTCCCTAATTGCTAAGAAAGGAAGAGTCACAAAGGTTGAAAAACATTGCTCTAACCGTGTCTAGGGTATGGAGGGTCAGGATCAGGCTGAGGCCCTCCATGGAGTCAGCTAAGTGAACTGGACAGCACAAAGTCAGGAGTAACCCCCATAGCAGATAGCCTGCCGACCCCGGGTGTAAGGAAGAAAGCACACATGGATGGGGAAGAGGGAGGGTACGGGACAACACTTCCAAAATGATAAACACAAAAACATGCCCGTGTGCAGAAAGGAAAAGCTGCGTTCTTCACACCTGAGTGTCTGCAACAAACTCAAACATGAGCTTCCTCAAAAATTAACCCCTCCACTTCTGGGCCTAGAGACAGTGACGTAGCCACAGAGGACTAGAGTGGAGAGT